AGTGTGTGTACAATATTCTTTTAGTAAGTCATTTTCAGAGCAGCCATAGTTGTCCTCTGATTGCCTCCAACAAGAAAGCCGTCAGCGGCAGAGACTCAATTCTTGATTCCTTGATGAAAAGCCCATTGTGCATGCACTGGTTTGATAAGCCTTGTCTTGATAAGTGACATCAGCTTTTGGTTCACTGGTTCTAAATATGCAACCGGGCGTGTAACGGACAAAGAATAAAAATCAGTCACTCTGCACCAGTTGATGGACCAGATTAAAGAAGCTGCTCCAGGTCTGTCCTGCTGATGAATTATGATACAAAACCTCATGATTTTAAGAAGTGACAGGTGAAAGAATTTCCCTGACCAGGTTTGTTTGTCACCCAGTGTCTCTCTCAAATAGCAGGCAGAGAAAAGGACCATGTACCCATTTTTTTATTCCCCAGTGTGTTTTTCAGTGGATAACAATTGTTTTGTTTTTTTTATTTCTTCTGGGTCTGTTCATCAGCAAACAAAATAAAAAAACCAAACTGTTTTAGTGCACTAATAAGCCACGTTCACAGACCTGTGGATGATGATTATGATTCCTCCTTGTCTTGGGAGCTGGTTGTATTTTTTAGGGTAATTTCAGGCCTAATCATCCTCCACCCTTTTACACTGTCAGCTTGTAGGATCTGAAATGAGACTCAGTAATACCTTGTCAGTTATCCGAATGCGTATGATACAGAGACTTGGTCAACATCTGCAATGGTTGTATTAGTAATTTGGCACCATTACAAATGCAAAAATGTGATCAAGTGAAGAAGGGTAGAAAAAAAAAGCGTTGTTTGGTATAAACAGACTGCAGATATTTTTAAGATTTAAATGACACCAGTTTTTGTGCATATTCAGAGGGCATATCGCAGACACTGACTCGAGCACAAATGACTCCAGAGACTGAGGATGCTTACACAGATCAGTAGTCGACATCTCATAGATTTTCCAGCCACATCCTTTGCACTTGTAACATCACTAATCTCACTGTGCCGAGCTGCAGGCAGTGGTGAATAATTTTTTGGAAAGGTTGATGGACAACTAAATTGTTTTATCTTTCATACGTTCTATGAAAGATGACCAAAGGGTCAGTGATTCATTTACTATGTAGACTGTCATCATTGGAGATGTCACATTGTATTATGGTAACAATCAAATCATTCAATTCCCAATTCTCCACCTGTCCTTGTTGATTAAAGTCAGTTGCAGCCAATTTTTTTTCTGATGTTTTGATCACAGTGATGACAAATAAGAAAAATCGTTTTTCAACTTGTGAACCTGGGATCACAGGGTTGAAAATGTTTGTTACTTAATTTCCAAATAGTTAAGAAAGCGAACTTCTGCTGCACAACAGTGAGGATGAAGTATGTAAGGTGAAGCTCGTCTTTCATATGTGCAGATTCCACCGTGCTCAGGAAGAACTGGCGCATTATCCCGATAATCAATTAATTATCCAATAAATGTTAAAGTGGAGTCACACTCAGTGACAAGAATTTACTTTATTCTCTGCAAGAGGACAAAACGTTTTCGGCCGTCTGGCCTTCATCAGTGTTGGCGCTGTTGTAACCAGGCTGCGTGTCATTGATAGCCCAAGTGGAAGCTGTCAGTCATGATTAAGTGTGAGACATGGCACAGCAGCTGTGCATGGATGGACGACGTTTACATGTTGTCGGGTCTGATTCGTTTCGCCGCCAGAGAATGATAATCACTTTTTTTGGGGGCAAGTATGTTTGACACACACACACACACACACACACACACACACACACAAGGAACCGAGGCAGCTGTCTGTGGCACCAACACACACATGATCACTCTACCTTCTGAGCCACAGCTGCCACTGGGCTAGTTTTACTCAGTCCTGTCTGATACAACTTTGGACATTGCAATCATAGGTGACGGTGATTTTTTTTTCTTCTTTTTTTAACCATTTACTAACCACCAGCAGCTGTAAAGAGAAAAAGGACAGTAGAAATTGGTTTAAATGAGAAAATCACTGAATAAAGGTTGTGAATTTTAGTGAACAGAATGCAACAGGTGAAGTAGCTCCTCACAACATGAAATGAACTAATTCATTCAAATTAATGCCTGAATTCTACCCAAAATGTATATACAGTAAAAAACCAGTAGCCTTTTAAATGGAAACATAAAAGCTAAACCTTCCTGGAGAATGGGGGGAAAACAGCCTTCTCAGTGGTATGGGGGTCTTCAGTTTGTGCTGCATCAAAACTAACCTGTAGTTACTGACAGTCACAGTTTTATAGTGTCATTCAGACACCAATTATGTGCAAGTGACTGGAAATGTTTTTCTTCTTAGCTTAGCTGCTGGCACAGCTCAGCTTGCACCATAGTATCATAAAAATCAGCAATGCAGCAAAACGTGTTCTAACACGGGTGCCTACAGATAGCTGTGAAGTTGTATAATATGGTGAAGTTGAGTAGTTTGACCTGTGCAACCATCTGTTCTGGCTCTTAACATCCACAAGGAGGAGAAATGATTGCAATATCATACTGTTGTTTGAATAATGCCACTTTCTGTGTTATATACAGCTGGTGTAGACAAAGTAGAAAAGCTACAAGCTGTTCACAAGAAGTTATTACTTTGACCTCAAACCACAGTGGCCAATGAACATGTGCTAAAATGATATCATTGCAGTTTGGTGACATAAACGGTTCATAAGTGTTTTTCCTGTACACCAGTATTTTTCACCACAGGCATGCAGACTTCTTTGTTAAACCTTAAGTTCTTGCTCTGTTTTACTCAAACAGTAGATTTCTTTGGTTAGTTTTTTGTCAAAGTGGGTGATTAAAAAGGTCAAATAACACATTTATCTGCCTTTAGTCAGCGATTGTTTCTCACTAGGATGTGCAGTTTGCCCATTTTAAGAGTGTAATAGTGGAGTCAGAGATTCCCTTGTGGGTTTCCGATATTTATTTGAGCTGGAATCAGTGGGCTCCTAATGTAACCAGAAAATAAAAACTTTGGTTGGCAGTTTACAATACTTACTTTAAAGTTGTTCATTAGCTTGTCATCATTTGCTGGTACAAATTGATTAGGAAACAAAAAGTCCAGCAACACTTGCAGTATTATGAACAAGTTTAATAAGAAGACCAAGGCATTTCAGCATGAACCTTTTCTCAAGGTCTGTTAAAGGCAAAGAGTCCTATAAATAATACAAAGTCAAAAAAAAAAACTTAAAAACAACTAATCACATACAAGCTCATACATATTGACCAATCTCAAGATATGTGTGTGGTGTTTGTTCTTATGGTGTTTTGTTGCTGCTGGAAGACAGGAATTTCCCCACTGTGGGATCAATAAAGTCCTGCCTACCTAAAGAACATGCACATAAGTGAGTTATGTTTATGGTCATGTGGCCATTGGCCAATCACATTCAAGGGTCAAATTGATAAAGGAGCACCAGTTGTGTGTAATAATTGACACTGATACCACATGTGATTAACATGGAAGAAAATGTACAGTCAGCAGGCGCCTAGCAGTCCAACCAATCCACAAAACACCATGGGCCTCCCCAGTCACAACAAAAACCAATACAAAAGAGATGACAACTGAAAAAAAAAGCTAAATTAAAGACATAATGCAGCACATGAAACAAAACAAAAAGCTCAAACGTATATTTGTAAGATACTATAAAACTAAATATAATGAAAACAAGAAAGACAACAGGGTGTACAGTTGGAGCCCATGAGTATTAAAAACTAAACCTCATTATAAAAATTCATTAACTGAGAAATCCTTGTCCATACCTCCTGGAAATAAACTTTTAAAGTCAAAAATCCAAAAAGCCTCTCTTTTGCTTAAAAGATTAGTGTTACCACTTATTGCTCTAGGCTTGGTTGCCTCTATGCCTGTGAAAAAATGATGACAGGGTGCTAACTTACTTATGTGCATGTTTTGTATTGGCCGACGTGAATGAACTTGTATGTCACTGGTTGTTTTTAATGGTTTTAATGTGTGCCTTTAACAGACCCTGGAGAAGTCTTCATGCCGAAATGCCTGGGTCTTATTATTAAACTTGCTCAAAACATGCAAAGGTTGCTGGACCTTTTGTTTTTCAGTTTGTTTTTTCCTTATCTGTGCACCTTGACAGTGGGTGAAGCTGTGCTAGAACTTTCTGCATTATCTGGTACAAACTGATTAAGCATTATTGGAGCGCTTCTTATATTGAAGTAGCATAGCAGTAATGCAATAGTCAAAACACTTTTGTACTGGCTTTCACAGCTAGTGCCTCCACTATAGGCTCATTTCCTATAACATACTGTAAAATGAGTAATCATTTCATATGTTTGGATTGTGAGGTCAAAGATACAGTATGTACTCTGGTAGCTTGACTTATCATTTAGTCACCTTGGTAGGCAACAAATTGTGTTAAAATCTAACAGGTAAAATTCTGAATAATGCCAGTCTATATGAGTTGTGGATGAAAGCTGTTTTCCTGCCCTAAGTTGAATGAGGGCAGGAAGACTCTTGTCCCTACTTTTGGACCCACAGCTCTTGTTCACACAAATGACATTTTCTCTCTGTTCTGTGGGGAGGCGATAGTGGTGTGGGTAGAGCAGTCATCTCCTAATTTGAAGGTTCAAATCCCGGTGCCTGCAGTCCATGTGTCGAAGTGTCCTTGGGCAAGACACTGAACCCCTTTGTTGCCCCCGATGGTTAGAGCCATTGGTTGAGTTGGCGCTGCAGATGGCTGCCTCGGTTCTGTACCGGAAACAAATTCCTTGTGTGTAACATACTTGGCCAATAAAGGTGATTATCCTTATCCAGTTGCACAGACCTTTCTGTTTTAGTTTTCAGATGTATTTCTTTATCTCTGTATGAAATTAAACAAAATGAGTGTATGGAATTACACAGTGTTTCAGTCATTGTTGTATTACTGTTGTGATATTTGTAGTCCTGCTGTGGATGTGATTTTACTAGGATAAGAGAACACCGACCTATCACATCCCCCAAAAAACATGCATTCTCCTGCCTAATTGTCAAATTAGCTTAAAAATAATTTGATAGAGATTTGCTCTTTTGTTAAGAGTGTTGTCTGCACAAATTTGACAGACTCTGTATTAACAGATAGGTGACCCCCGTCCCTTCTCCATTTATTTTATTGCATAAATAATATTATGAATTTTATATTACCACTTTATTTCTTAATTTAGTTTGTACCTAAACTGACCGCCAGGTGGGGCCGTAGGCAAAGACTTTACTATACTTTGGCTAGTTAGCTCCTTAAAGTTGCAGCTCCAGTGTTGTATGGTGTAGGGTGCTTAACTCCAGTTTGGAGAATAATGAAATTAGCTCAAAGTCCCTTATATCTCTGTGGGTACATGGCACCAGCATGTATTTATAGTGCCACTTAAATGTTAAAATTTCTTTAGCCAAAAGCGCCACTTGACATGTGACTCATTTTGGACACCAGTTAATACATGACCCATAAATAAATCCCCTTAACATAGCAAAATGTTGTAGTCTAAAATCAGGCATCTACCGTTCCATTTAAACACACGTTAAAATTGAAAGTTGTGTCATGTCAGGTATGAAAATAGACATTGTTTATTGTCCTAACAGCACTAAAGCGCAACTGATGCACTCACAGTACTCTTATACCTCGTGCCCGCGCAGGTGTGGCTCTTAGGGCTCGTGCACGTCACCCCTCCCCCCAGCTATGAACTACAAACCATTGCTGCGCGCTCCCGTGAAGTAATTCATTGTGTCAGATTGAGACGGGAAGAAGCAGCGAGCGAGTCGTCGGGTCGGTAAAGCAGTTGTGCTCCGGGAGACACTGAAAAATCCGACTGCTAGACACATAAACTGCAGGTAAACTACTTTTTAATTACCTGACTATTCTGAAGTGCTGATTTTCTTGCCTTCTTCAGTTTAAAAGCGGACATGGTAATTTCTTAAGTTGTGCGGAGCTTTGAAAGGCCGTGCTCGCGAAGCTAAAAGCTAGCGGTACTAGCTAACGTTAGCTAAATTAGCTTTTCTCCTAATCGACCTCAGTTTCCATGCCGCTTCCGCACTTGCAACACAGTTGGGCTGAAGAGAAAACTGCTGTATTCTGACTGTAGGAACTTCTGTGACCGAAACGCCTTGGCCAGACTCTACCGAAGCCTGTTAGGAAACTGTGATAACTTCAGTAATGCTTATAGACTGGCCTAGATTGGACGGATAACCCCCACACAATGAGGCTATTTTCCCTACTTACCTCGGCGGACCAGGCGGCTTACTAATGGCTCAGCGTCACTTTATGAATTGCTGCTAGAGGTGGATGTTGGATGGAGTTTTTTTCGATAGCATGCTCAACATTTTAAGCAAGCAAGCAAATGTATTTATATAGCACCTTTCTAAACCTACGTTACAAGGTGCTTTACAGTAAAACATACAAAATAATAATAATAAAAAAAACAGATGAATCACATCCACACAATAAAAAAGCATCAAGCAAACAATCAGTGTACTTTATTTCAGCAACAAACCCGCATTTTCCGTAGGTTATAGAGCATGCCAAAGACAATAGAGCTCGTACTCTTTACTTGGCTGGAGATTTTAAGTTTTACCCTTTTCTGTAATGTTGGTTTGTCGTGAATAGTCGTAGCTATCGAGAAGTCATATGTATGATGTACCGTATAATGTTTAGTTTGGAGCAGGGCCACCCACCCATTCTTCCACTGCGGACACACTAGCCATCTGTTGCCTCTGTGATGACGCCATCTTTCTGGTGACCCACCCAGTGGCTATAGCTGATTTAATATCAGTTTGACTAGGCACTAGGAGCTCTCACGGGCAAGGCACACAACTTTTTCTTTGCCATGGCCATGGTGGCTAGTAGACCACGTCAGACCATCCATATAGTGTAGCATTTCTGACCATTTAGGACTCGGAGATACAGATAAAATGATCAATAATCATATATTTGTTACAATTGTAAGTCAAAGCTAGAGATGTGATATACCAGTCAAAATGTGGCATAAGCTTTTCCCGTTAAGTTCAGTGGGAAGTTTTTGTGATGAATATTTTATTGTTCTTACTGATGTAGAAAAGCCTCTGAAGCAACTGGGGGCGGGGTCAGGTTTTATTGTAGTTTTACACATGGCCACATTTGAAGCTGTTGAATAAAAGAATATAATATCTTACAATATAATGGAGGGAAATAATGGTGACTGATCAGAATCCAATTTCATTTAATGGTCGATAAATTAAATAAACGGTCAGTGGCTTCTTCCCAGTAGGTTCAAATTTTAGTCATTGTGATTGAGACAAGCTTAGTACTGATTACAAATACTCTGGTTCATGGTAATTATCCAGCAAGCATATTAAGTACACTGTCTTTCTGTGTCCTGTTTTTTTTTTTCCCCAGGGGGTTTGTGCTAAAGAGGTGGTAGAATTTTTACATGAGAAAGTGGGTCTCTTGTAACTGAAATGGTAATTTCATTGTGTCCCAGCAGTACTATCACCTTTCTCTAAATGGGTTGTTTTAAGTGTTTATCAGCAATTTGTGTTGTAATTGTATTTTACATTATACATGTGCCGCACACGGTGGTATAGAATGGCTATTCTGTTCTTTCATTGTAATGGATTAATTCCATATTTCAACACCCATAGAACTGCATGTCAGGTGGTAGCAGAGAAGCACTTGCCAAGCTTCTGTCAGAAACTGAAATATTCATCTGCTGGTAGCCAGTGAACTGTTAAGCTGGGTCTAATTTTCCACCCTGAAGACTGTGTGGAGTATTTCCTGATATAAACACACACGCCCACACATGCAGGCCTTTAGATGTGACTGTGTGGGGTTTTCTAAAGGACAGCCTGATGAATCATCAAGCACACAGTAACCATTTTAATAATGCATTTAAAGCTGTGTCGTACACAGTAGCAGTGCAGAATGAGTAGTGTTTTACTTGACTGGTCAGAGAAAACTGTTTGAAAACTGGGTGTGTGTGGACACATGAGTGGGTTTGACGGGCAGACCTGCTGACAAACCTATTGTTTGAGTTTGACAGGATGACAGTTTACATGATTTATCAGGCTGGATACACAGCCATCCCGAAGGTGGAGACTCGGTTGAAAGTCAAGACCCATAAAGCATAGTCTTTGTTTATAAAACTATGTGGTTTATTCAGTTAGCTAGGTAAGGATAGTCAGCTGCTTTGTCAAATTAAGACCATCAATTTTCAGAAGGTGCCACCTCAGTGTTTGTGAAGCATGAATCAAACGTTACTGTTGGGAAGTCGGTTGAAAAAGTGAATCACAAATTGACAAAAGCCTGCCCCTGCTGTCACCCCTGCTCCTCCTGTGTTAATTGATGGTGTTTATTGCAGGAATTCCAATATCCATCCTTTTCTGTTAATTTGATCTTGTTGGGGTTTTCCCTGTGTCTCTCCTTACTTGTTGTTTGTCATCTTTAATTTCATCTCATGGTGTCTTGTTTGATAGCGTGCAGGTGGGGTGGAGATTTGCACATTTGGCCTGGTCCTTATTATCTATCTAGCAGGACTATAATTGTTCAGGGATTCCATCTCGCATACACTTCAGTTACTGTGGTCATCAGCGTAGCTTACATAACCAGCCTGTTTTTTTTTTTTGTTTGTTTGTTTTTTTCTTGGCATATGTTAACATTTGATGTCTTTGTACCAAAAGGCAGTTTGGAAGCCAGTCATTTGTGGTTCTCTGCAGTCTATAGTTGGAGTTACATCACTTCATACATGCACCACTGAAAATGCCTGAGAAGCCTGTTCAGTTTTAGTGTGACTCTAAAGTGTTGACTGGCAAGCATCTGGCAGGCATGACTGGCAACAGCCCAAGATAATATATGTGGTTGGTGGAAATTTCACATTCTACTGAAGAGCAGTATATGGGCACCTATCTGTTAATTGCTTAGCAAATTATATTTCACCACCTTTACATTTGCATCAGTGTATGTGATATTTTTGATAATGTGTGTTCCCCGTTTTCCTGAAACAAACTCTTGACACAACGTTATACACTGTTAATGGTGATTTTCCTCTTGTTTGCCCCCCCCCTTTTCTGAGCATATTGTGCCCCTATTATGTTTTTTGTCTTGGGCTATGTTCACATCATGGGCCTTAATGCTCAATTCCAGTCTTGTCAGATCTGATCTTTTTGTGTTGATGATTCACATCATGTGTAACATTTATCCATCTCTGATTTGAAAACAAATGAGAGTGTGAACATAGCTATAATTTCCCAGGTGATGTATCAAACTAATTAGATTTTTGTTTCTGAATGGCATGAAAAATGCCTAAATCACAAAATAAATATTGGTGCTTCTTCAGGTGTCACTCGGACACCGGTGCTAACAGTTCTGTGAAGTTAGAACATTTAGGTTGTGTTCGGACTGAGTTTCAAAGATGTGCAAAATAAAATGCAGCTGTCCTCATTCATTTCTGTGGGGGATTGAATTCAACATAGCTTGCACCTGTACCACAGTGGGCTCTGGCGAAACAACTTCAACCCTGTGCGGTGAAAAAGTTAGATCTGGCTCAGCTTTCATTTCAACATACAGTGACATTATTCTGTGAATGATCAGGACATGTACACTCCAAAACGATACATCATGCATCTTTGTTAGTACTGGATGTTAAACTGTTTATTATCCATCAGTGCCGATACACTGGTGGTACAATTTGTGCTAAGGTAAAGTAGGCTATGTTAGCAGCATGGCTAACCAAAACGCAATGTAAACTCCCAGGCTGGAAACGTGAATAAATCAATTTACATTGACTCATCACAACATGGTTGTATTGTATATGGCTACAACACTCCCCATGAAAGCCTGCAGGCCCTTGCCTGCATTTTTACCAGCTCAGTCTTAGTGCATGCTAATGTAAGCTTTCACAATTTCCTTGAAGATCTCTGCACATGTGAGCTATGTCAGTCAACAGGTTTGAGTAATGGCAGCAGCTAAAAGGTGACAAAATAACAAAGAAAGGTAGTCATGCTACCTCAGTAACATGGATCAGTTTTGCAAAGGCCACCTCAAGTTTATAAAGACTTGATTTGAACAAAAAGTGGCAGCATGACAAACCTGTTGCAGTTTGTTTTTATGTAGCTTTTAAATCTGTTCCGGATATGTTTATCTAGTTACTGCCAACCATTTGTTATTGTTATACAGCTGCTCCTAGTGTTATTCTTGACAATACGTGGAAGGAGAACAGTTTTGCTATTGATTCTTTGGTTGATATTGCGCATATGGCCCTAGTTACTAGGGAATGGCATGTAATTTTGATCAGAAATGGACTGAATATGGAGCCTGAAGCTGAAGGGAATGTAGGCAACACACAGTTTACAGTAGCTACAAATGCCAGTCACATGCAAACTTGCTACATGGACAAAAATTAAAACAACCCAGAACTGAAAGGGAATAAAGACAGACTGGTTTCAACCAGACTCTTCTTATGCACAGCCTATTTGGGAATTAAATAAACTTTAGCAGCATTTTTTTCAGCAGTAGGTTAGCTGTCAAATGATTTGACAATTTAGACACAACACTGGTAAACTAGATATCTCACCAAAGGTGCAGATTTGACAGGGAACTGAAACTGTAACCTGGTCTGTAGTTACAGCTCTGCTGCAGATCAAACTGCAACTCAGCTGACGGTGTGCTCTCTACCACACCTCCAGCTGGCTCACTGTGATGGAGAGCAGGTTAGAAAAATGTGATTGACACTGCACAGTGCAGCTACTTGGTGAATCAGAAGGAAATGACAACTCAGGGGTGTGAATTTTTTTTTTTTTTTTTTTTTTTCATAACCCCCCTCAGTGTGAGGCCTATTTGTCCTTGTGCACTTAGTAAGTATACAGTGCATGTACTGTGTTCATGTGAAAGTTGTCTCTGTGGCAGTGCCCCAGGAGTGATGATGTGTACTTAATGAATAAAGTGATTGTACCCATATTTCCACAACCGGCAACTGGAACATTTTGGATACCATTCCTGTTCATGTATAAAGGGAAATGGCTGTTTTCCTGTTTAGTGTTTTGGTCACACTTGTTGATAAAATGTAATACTGGTTATTTTCACAAGTGTGTGTGTGTGTGTGTGTGTGTGTGTGTGCCCTCGTGAGCGCTGAATACATCCAAAGTTTGTCAGTCCAGTTCAGCAGAAAGTCCACACCATTTACACCCAATTCCTGTTTGTAAAAAAAAAAAAATATATATATTTTTTTTGGGACTAATATATGCAATCACATGCGTACACACACTTGACATGCCATAGTCAAGGCTAGTTAGTTTGCTGAAATTTTTAAACCATGAATTACAAATGAAAAGAGCAGAACCAAATACAGGCTCATGTTTATCTTCAGGTTGAGAGCCACTGATTTCATGTTGTGTGGTTAAATGTGTGAAGTATAATGGTGCAACTGCACTATGCATCACTGTGCAAAGCCCACTCTTGCTTTCCTGCTACAAATGTCGCATGTTTTTCTGCTTAAAATGGACTGTTAGGTCCTAGTAAACACTTTTATTTACAGAATAGTTTGAGTATATGGACGTCTTTGGGCAGTGGGATGCTCCTCTGTAACAATTAAGGGCAACGCACACAGGTAGCGTGATGTGTCAAAAAACCTGCACCAATTATTTTTGTAATGAAAGCCCAAACGCTGCCATCAAACTATACACATCAGGATGTGCTTTTGTCCTTTTGCCCGGCTTAAACTCGCATCAGCAGCATAAAATTACTGAAGTAATCTAACATTTTGGTGGTCCTGCACTGAATTCACACCGCTCCCGCTGCGTGATGCGGGTCATATCGGTGTTTCCCCTAGGTTTACAGTTTTTTGGTTGGGGTGCCACACACGTGTGTGTGTGTGTGTGCGCGACTTGGGGTGGAACTCCGCCGTGCATGATACAGAGAGCAGAGGAGAATTGTAAACGTGCGACCATGTAGAGACAAAAATGACATGCCTTTATATAAATAACATAAGGCTAGTTTGTTTAAAAAAAGAACAAGGAAAGGAAACCTTAAATGACTTCCATTAAGATCTGGTGGGGGGGGCAATATAATGGTAGGGGGAAACGCTGCACATGGCGTGTTGTGCTGCCCTCAGTGTTTGCTGCCATTTACACTTGTGATTCTACTTCCTGTCATGCTTTTCTTGTGACTCCTTGGGCATAACACTGACTTCCTCCTTCCTTCTTGTGTTCTCCAGGGATGGCAGCCATCCGTAAGAAGCTGGTGATAGTGGGGGATGGAGCTTGTGGGAAGACCTGTCTTCTGATTGTCTTCAGCAAGGACCAGTTCCCTGAGGTCTATGTCCCCACTGTGTTTGAGAACTATGTTGCTGACATAGAGGTGGATGGTAAACAGGTGAGACAACTGTAGCACTATGTCTTTCTCATTTAATGTCATGTCCGAGTGGTGCTGAAGGGTAGATGGATTGATCCAAACCACACTCATTAAAAGCTGTTGTACCATCTTAATAAGTGACTTTTTTTTTCTAGTGAACAAATTTTAAATACTGAGTATTTTGTATGTTTTTAAGACACTACAGAGTAATCTACTTGTTTCCTATGTGTCTTTGCTGCTTTTAGTTTTTGTGCTTATATCAAGCTAATTTTGTTCCTTGTGTCCTTAATCATGCTCAACACTTTAATTCTACCTTCAGGGCTAAGTGGGCAAGTGTTGATAAAACTGTACTGTTCCATTTTCACATCTTCCCTCCCTCTGCAGCAGCCGTCTGCCACATCTCCTCTGTTTTTGCAGATTGCTTTGGTTGAGCTTAGTCACAGGCCTTCAAATTAATTTTGGAAATATTTCTAGGTTTTTGTAGGTACTGGATAACTCATCAGTCACAAATCCACACGTCCTCACCTCATTTTGGGTTAATGGGATTCTGGGACATTGAGTGTTTATTGGCTGGTTGATTCTCTAATCCTTGGTTCTGCTGAGAAAGACTCATTACTACTTCTAGTCAAGTGTCACACTTTTCCAAATGTCTTGATCTGGTTTCCTTTCCAAATTTAGCTGTGTAGTTTGCTCTGAGAGGGTTCTTTATGTTACTGTCACAGAACCCACGTACAGTTTGTTATTTATTAGGAATTAACAAAGACAGTTTCATACAGTAAATAGTATTTCTTCAACCATATCAGACTATACCGTCATGTATTGTGTAAGAATCTTCATTTAAATGAAGCAACAAAACAGGTTAATATTTAGGCAGATTACTGTGGTAGCTCTTTGTTGCACTTTTTTCTTTTGAGACATTTAACCATTCATGTTCTGGTTTCACCATCAGCCACATCTTTCTAGTAACAGTGTCAATGCCTTAAATTTTGTTTTAACAAAATAATTGTATTTATTTGATTAATTTAAAATGAGAATTGTGGCCCAAACTATCTGATGGCACAAGCTCTGATGTATATAAATGAATGACGGGGACCTGCTAAATTGAGGTTTTCCAGGTTGAGGCTAAATGCAGAGATTCATCTTCATTGCTGAGATTTAATACTCATTCAAATTATATTTAAATATAATTAAAGAAAACATGAAAACAAGATTTGACCACTTCAGGGTCCAAAATGGTACACATTTTACCAGGGTTCAAGACATGCTTCACATTTGTTTGCTTTCCACTTAATCTCATAAAATAAAAGTCCTTTTTTAGTAGTTCCTGGTCCAAATGAGGTCTGCAGCTGTTTTTGTTTTTCTTGTTTACATTCTAGCTTCATGTGAGTTATGTTGATCAGGATTGACGTGGCTTATTAGCTTCTCTTCCTCACTTATTTTCTCCCTCGTTCTCCACATTCTCTTGTCCTTCTCCCTGCCCTGTGTGTGCGTCAGGTGGAGTTGGCCCTTTGGGACACAGCAGGTCAGGAGGACTATGACAGGCTGAGACCTCTTTCCTATCCAGACACTGACGTTATTCTCATGTGCTTCTCCATAGACAGCCCTGACAGCTTGGGTGAGTACAACCCCACACACTATCATGTGTAACATAAAGTACTACGTCTCTGTCCTTCTTATGCACTCCCCAATCTTTCCATTTTTATTTCTGGGGCCTGTCGGTGTTCATTCTGTTGTGACCACTTGTAGAGGAACTGGTTGCATTTGCACATACAGAACTCACCAACTGACACAAATCATTTGTCATGTATTGGCATGCAGCCATGCTGTTAAACAAGGACACAGGCCTTTTCTCTCATAATGATGAACAACACTTCACTGATCATATCGAAATTGCTTTGCATCAAAGGCAATCAAAGCTGCAGACAAGGAGTCAGATTAAACAGTGAAATGAGACGAAGGTACTAGTTATAATAGATTTATAATAAAACAGGCTTATTGTGCTGAAGCTTGTCATTTGTTGTTTTACATGATAATCCTTAGACTACTTTTTTGTTTAAAAGCAGCATTTCTGCTGACAAAGTGAGACAAATGTTATCAGCTGATGCTCAGTGGAGATATGGAGGCTCTGTGCTTTTGTTCCTTTTGTCAGAAGCAGAATTGTCTCTGCAGTAACTCACATTTTAAATGTATAGGCCAGTCTGAACACTGGTGTCCTTTGATTTAATTCTGTTGCCTAGTTTCAAGATAAGCACATATACTGCACCATCATATTGTGTTTATGCAGCAGTTCATTGTCAGGTTGTATGGTTGTTCACTTGTAGCAGGAAGAAATTTTTCCAGCTTTTTTTTTTTTGGAATTATTTGCTTATTAGCATTTCCTTTTTTTTTTCTTTAATATTCCCAAAGTGGCATATGAGTGAGAATGGGTTTAGTGCAGTACACACAGCACTGGAATATATGTACATCTGCCAATTGGTCCTTTGTTCAGATGTAGTGGTCTCCAGGTGCTGGAATGTTTATCCCCCATCTGGAAAAATAAAACTACAGTAAAGTTTCATCACTTCAGTTGCATTTGAGAATCAAAATTACATCTGATATACACACCCAAAATTAAACTGACCAGTGATTGTTGATTTTTTTGTCATTCACAGAAAACATTCCAGAGAAGTGGACCCCAGAAGTCAAGCATTTCTGTCCCAACGTTCCCATCATCCTGGTAGGGAACAAGAAAGACCTGCGTAATGACGAGCACACACGCCGAGAGCTGGCCAAGATGAAGCAGGTACATCTTTTTTTTTTTCTTTTTTTTTTTTGTCACCATTTTGGTTATTCTGCCAAGTTCGTTCGTGGAAAAATAACCATTACTGGTTACACTAGCGGTTGGCTTTTGTTTCATCATCTTTACCTCTGCTCATCTGCATATGTTATTGATGACAGAAGTACAGTTCAAATGAGTAAAGATCACTTGTTTATTGGTGTTTAGAGTTGTGTATTATTTAATGCTATTTTATCCAATTGTGAATGTTTCGCTAAACCAGATTCTTGGTTTTGTCTTCATCCAATAGGAGCCAGTGAAGTCGGAGGAGGGCCGGGACATGGCTGGTCGGATTGCAGCATTCGGTTACATGGAGTGCTCTGCCAAGACCAAGGACGGTGTGCGGGAGGTGTTTGAGATGGCCACCAGGGCGGCACTGCAGGCCCGCCGTGGAAAGAAGACCAATAAATGTGTACTGCTGTAAAATGGCTGACATATTTGGACTATTTTCACCAGGGGCTACTGTACCTTGGTTTAGGGCTCGGGAGGGACAGAGGGGATTACTAGATGGGAGAGGGAGGGAGGGGAAGAACAGAGTGCAGTAAACACCTACCGCTGTAAAATGGCTGTTTGTTGGACTGAATTTACCCTGGGACTTGGGTTTGGGAAGCTTTGATGGAGAGGGATGGATGCATGGAGGGGGGAGGAGGGAACACAGTAAATGACTACCGCTGTAAGCCATCTTTACCTGTAGGTTTATCATCAAGGTGGGAAATTTACACCAGCCAAACGCTGGTACATATTGTCTTGTCAACCAGCCACTTAACCGATAAAGATTATTAGGAGTTCCTGGTCCTTTCTAAAATTCTGTCTGACTGGTAAAACTGATTAAGGTGCTAGTGAATTATGGGATGTTCCAGTGACTGTTTCTTGTGTACAAAGCAGAAGGTTTAGTTTCCACCCTGAGTGATTTGCCAGACGGACAGCACAGTAAATGAGTACCACTGTAAGCAGTCACCAGTGGACTGCTCCTCCCCAGATGTTCATACCTGGATTAGGGATAGGGTGGTGCTGAGTTGGACAGTGAAAGGATGGGAAGAATGAAGTACAGTGTGCGAGTGTGACCATGGGGACACTTTATACACCACACCAGGGCAAATCTGGCAGCTTTCATAGTTTTACACATGTAGCTGGTTATGTTGTAGTTACCTGAGCAGAGTGTTTCAAAAGAAGTCTGCTTACCAGTAAACGAGTACAGGCCTGAAGAGGTTTGAGGCTGATGATCTTGCAGATTTATTCAGAAACAAAAATCTGAATTCTCTTGTAAAATTAAGCATTTGGGAAAATTTGTCCAGTGGTTGTTGTATCCACAGTATTGGTCAAGTGCTCTGGTCTTGTGTGCTCATGGAGCTCCATGCTCACACGTGCAGCTCAGTGCCATTTAGTCTGTCAGTGGTTAATTCCTGTTCTTATAGACTCGGTGACAGCCGCATCGAGTCCTTACTGAGATGACCTGTTCTAATAACATGCAGATCAACTGCAGCTAGTGTTTGAATTGATAAACTGACACTTAAACCCATTTGCTGTGCAGCACCGTCTTGTCTTTAATCCAAAGTGGTTTTAATAGCCACCTGTATACCAGTTGCTGCTCCTAAATACCAGGCATATTATCATAGCAGTGTTGTAGAAGGCAGGGCTAGGTAGTCAACTGCCCACATGGTGGTGGCTTTGTACTGCATTTGGTTTTCCTAACTTAAGGGGGTGATCATTATCAACCTGAACATTCTTCAGCATTGTAATATATTCTTTGGACTGAATCAGTGGAAGGGGCAGATGATTTATGGTCCCACTCGGACAATGGCACTGCCTGTGCCTCAGCTCCCATCCCTTCCTGTTCCACCTAGCTGACTGCTGGTGCTCATCTTCCTTTGGTTATAAACCAGGTCAAAGAACAAGGAGAGGAGAGTATTGTTTACATGCACACCACTGATCTCCTTATTTGGGATGAACAACTTTTAATTTTTTTGTGTGTAGGCATGTTTTAAAGTCAAATGTACTGTATGAGAAAAAACCGCATGCCAGGGATAAGCCACCATTACACCTGCATTTTCTGGAGAACTGTTTGGCCTTGCCACCGGCTTTCACAGTTAGAAAAATGTGACATGACCTTGTTACCTAGAAGGCTGTGCACAGAGATGGCAGAGTGCCAGAGAGTTATTTGTTTGGGTGCAACTTGTTGGTATACTGCCTCACTAACAAGCAAAGTGTTGGGAAAACGTTGAAATTTGGAGTATTTTTTAACATCCTTTATTCTACAAATATCAAGGGGTTGTGGGCACACTGGGGATTTGTAAACCACCAGCCTTCCCTGGCTTTTCAATGTGGTCTACTGCCAGAGTTGGGTTCTCCTGACAGTACTGTGCCCTCCTGTTCTTCTTCCTGGCCTGCAGGGAGGAGCTGGTTCCAGAAACCTAGTGTTTTTGTTTTATGCTTTGTTTCCTGTGTTTAGAAAGAAAAAAAGTGTCTCAGTATTTAAAAATAGGAGGTGGAAGATTGGGGTACTGCTTACATGTTGCTTTAGTTTACTCTTTTGTGCTTGACCTGAATTTTTGTGATGACTTAATGACCTGCCAGTCATCCCTGCCAAATGCTGTTGTTAGGCAGTCAGGAGAAAGGCTGGCCTCTCGGCTGCCTGTCTGGAGCATTGCTAGGACCACGTGCTGTTCTTCTTTTGTTTGTTTGGAGCACAATCTTAGCTGAAAAGAAAAGGAAAAAAAAACCCCTCTATGTACAAACCTTTTTTATTTTTAGTAGTTTTTATTGTATTTTAAGTCCTACTTTTGGTTGCTGAAGCAGTGATGGAAACAAAGGAACAGGAAAACCAAGCTGTATGCAAAGTCTGTAAATATGAAATGTGGGATTGTTCATACTCACACGCACAGGACTGGAAACTATTTGTAAACTAGCTTTGGTTTGTGTAATAAATTACTTTCTATAACACAGCTTCTATTCATTGTGGTCCGCCGGTGGCTTTTGAGTGCAATCAATCCACATGTAATATGAATGGAATGATGGATGAGTGGTTTTACATGAACTGTGGGTTACAATCCTTCTGGTGACAGGTCAACCATTTAGTGTAACAATCTGAATAATTGCTTGGAAACCCAAGAGGAAAAGTGAAATGATCTGAGGAGATGCAGAGGGATCATGTCCCTTTTGGAACTACAAATTAAATGGCAGCTGAAAGGGCCAGTGTAGTGAATTTTAGTTTGTCATCCTGTAAGTTCAACTTCTATAATCTTGCTTTAAAGGAACAGAGTTCCTCATTCACTTTCCTCTGATCGCAGTTTTATTAAAACTCAAGAGTACTGGTCAGTGAGATGAGTTTCTGGTTGAAGAGCATGAAGCACCATCGCACCACTTAATGCCATCACCCTGAATGTGTTGGATAGCGCTGGATGTTGTGGAGTAATATAAAGAAGCTGCAAGCGTGTGCAGAGTGTGAAGCTGCTCCGGAACAAAAATAAAAGCAAGCAGAGTGGAGGAGTGACAATCCAGGAATAAATATCTGAGCAGAAAGGTGCTTACAAGGATTATACATCTACAGTAACTTTTTAATAGAAACAAAGTATTGATGTCATTTTACATGCAGCTTTCTATTCACACTGGCATAAAGCTACACTGATTTTTTTTTTCACAAGTCTATTGTGGCAGACCATTTAGGCTTTCCTTCTTCCTTCCATACTGTTCAGATCACACATCCAAATAGTAGTTTCCATCTTGTTACATCAGAGAGGTGCCTGAAGAGACCTTTAGCAGCTCATATAGGAAGAAGAGAAGGTGGGGCGAACAGGTATAGAAAATGAATGGATGGCTAGTAGGAGGAGGCCTTCAGTGATGGATTACAAGAGATGTAGTGGGTGGATGTGAGAGGAAACAAGAAGTCAGCTTGTGCTGCTCTGACTGAAAATGACTCCCTGGGAATGAGACGAGGGCCCTTACAGTGGAAAAAACAGACCATCTGCCAGACCCTGTCAGTCACTTGTGGCCACTAAGCTGTATATGCCTTTCCACTGTTAACCCTCGAGTGAATTACAAAGGAAATCTGCTGTATTGCTTTACTGCACAAAGCAGGACATTGCTCCTACACCTGTTTTCCCCCTTGGTAGATGAGGACTACAGAAAAGTTCCAAATTCCAATATATTTATCTTTGTCAGTAAAGCCAAAGAGATAATACTAATGCAAAACTGACTCTGAAAAATGATCAACAGCCCTAGGTTCTGACAAGATCTGATTGTTTCATATGGTAGAATGGCTCAGAAAATGGTCCTGTACACACACACAAAATGTACAGATGTATTCAACAACAGGATTTTCCTAAATAAATAAAAGGTACAAAACTATGGCTATAAGAGAAATATTCAAATATTTATGGTACTCTGATCTGAAGTGTCATGTTGGGTATGAAACTGAGATAATGAGTATATTTCAGTGTTTTCATCACATGAGAATAATGGCACATTGGCTCAAGTGTATTAAACTATCCATATTGTGTTCCTCTGACACAAGCTACACCAAAATGGTGTCAGAAAATGCTATAACGCATACTGGGTCCAGGGGCCCAAGGGTTTAGAGATTCGCCTGTGTCAGAGCCTCTGTTGAAATCAATCCGATTACTTAAAAAAGACAAAATAGCCAAGAGACAAAACTACAGCAAAGATTCAAAACGACTACAAAAAGATAGAATGTCCACAAAGACTCAAACTAACTACAAATAGATGCCAAACAGTCACAAAAATACTACAAAGACATGTAGAACAATTACAGAGAGACACAAAAAAAATCACTGCAATTAGGGAAAACATCCACAGGTGGATTGATTGTTGTCATTTCGTGTCGCTTTCAGCTTGGGTCTCCATTCTAGGAGGGGAGGGGGTCTTTCACATATTTGTGCCCAGAGGCCCATTATCTCATAATATATCCATGGCCATGTCTCTTTCTACTGTTAATGCACAAAGAGTGAAACAGAGATGATTATGCGCTGCGTCAGACAAACACATCCTGAGTGACACACTAACAGACGGAAACGTGTTGGAACCACTGTGGTTCCGTTCCATCTGTTGTTGTTGTTTGTGACAGCATTTACAAAAGACATAACAGTTAAGTTAACGGTGATGCTAAGAACATCTCCTCTTCCGCTCACAGGAAATTTAATAATCTGCTTCTAAAGGAAATGACTACGGCTCTTTGTACAGACATTCAGATCGAAACCAGGCAGTCGAAAAGGAAGGAAGGAAGCTCGTCACTGTCAACTCCACCACAACCGATGGTTGGGCATCGTGTAAGACACACCGCGGCGTCGAGTGCAACACTTGTAGAGAAGTGAGCTGGGGAGAGGCTGCTGAGAATGACGAGACTGTTCTGTCCTTTCTTTCTCTTAGTGTCTCCCTCCTGCCTTGCTCCTCCAGATGCGCATCAGCGACGAGTACAGCACAACACAACTCAACCGCCGGTTTATATACCGGTCTATTTTTAGGCCCTCGCGAGCTCAACTATTCTTAACCAATATGAGCTCATCGCTCGCCTGACTTGTCCAATGGGATGAGAGGAAGAAAGGGGAGAGAGGGGGCGGGTTACACAAGAGCCTATTATCAGGAAAGAAAAAAGCAATCGAGTGAGGAAAAAGAAAGAATTTACTCGGTCGCTTTTCTAAAGTACCATAAACATTTGAGGAGGTCCACAAAGAGTCTTGGTATTTTTTCAAACTAAAGTTCTACTAGCCTTAGCGAGAGAATGATACAGTACCCTGTAATAATATAACAATGTTTGAATGTTTTACTTCAAATATATTTGTTGGTACTACTATGTAAACCAATTGTTTGCATATAAACATGCTTCTAACTTGGGAGAAAGGGAGGCATTCAAGAACACTTTGAGAAAAGACTGTTATTCGATGCAAAGAGGAGTAAATGAGAAATTAGAACACTACATGGAACCACCAACATGGCTCTGCCCTGTGAGGGGTGGGACTCAATAATTGTACAAATAATTTATTAGACTATTTGTTGCTGTTTATTCTGATACATACACTATACTGTTGTGCTGTAGCTGAAACAGAGGTAAATCAAAAATGTTATCATAGCTTTTGTGTTTTATGACAAAAGACAAAATAACAATACAGTCAACAGTTCAATGTTTGCATTGGTTTTGGTTACTGGTCTTATTCATCTCTCTGAAATAGGATTACCTATACATACTAGCCATACTTAGCCAGTAGAAAAAGGTCTGTACACCACCTTAGCATTTAGATGCAGCAAACTAATTAGCCGACAATGTAAACCAAATGGAGCTTCTCCTAGAGGTTCTGAGGGCTAAATGTAAGTGTTGGGGTGACTGTGCTTTTACTGTGACTGCTCCTATAGTATTTGTTCTACTACAAACCTGACATTTTTTAAATCCAAGTTAAAGACTTACCTGCGTAAACTGGCTTTTAGTTCCTAGTAGAGTCCTGACACTTTCAGATCCTTTTTGTGTTCATTCATGTGTTTTACTTCTTATCTTCTGTACTATGAAGAAACCTAATTTGATAAGCAACTTTATTTTTCCCCCACACTCAAAACACTGACACTGACACTAACATAAGTGATAAGTAATATCGCACATAGTGTGCGGTATTAACCAGCTGCGTAATGTCATATTCAGTCGTCAAATGGGTCTTATTAGTCTGTGATTAGGTGTGTTATATGGATGGCAAGTAATTTTTATTCCACTGTCCTTGTGTCCACTTCATGAACACAGAAGTTTAGTTTTAATTCTGGAGAGTGTCACGGCTGCTGTCTCCTCTCCAGGGGTTCTTCCTCTCTGTACATACAGTGTATTTGTATTTTGAAGGGCCTTCTCACCCTCTGCCACAGCAGCAGTACTTCACGAGTACTTTGGTTTATGTGAAGCACTTGTGGGAAACCAGGACTCACACATTCAGTTACTGCAACGTCATGGCCTTGGTGCTGCCCACTGGTTAACTCTGTATGTTTGTGTATCTTCACTGCTGACATTTGAAAGGCTGCATATTTAACAGTTACTGTAACTCATGACCTGAGACAGACAGATAAGTATGTCAAATGGCAAAATATATAATTAACATAGAACATGTGTATAAAGTAATTTTGTGTATAATCACATATATATGTGATGTCACTATAACATTAAATCATACTGTGTCTCAGTATGGTGCAGCCTGAAAACTGTTCAGTAATGTTACTGAACTGTAACAACGTACTAACAACATACATACAGCCAGCTATTTATGATTTCTCATGAATTATTATTATTTTGCTGCAGTACACAAGTACATTTTTGCTTGCTAATTGTTATGACCCCTGCAGTAGTTCAGTGAAGACCACACAATGTTGTCTGCATCCATCGAAGGACAGAGCACTTGAAATGGCTCAGGCATGCAACGATTACCTTGTGCATTCCAAACTTTCAACTGTTTTCTATGTATGATGTGTGTCAGATGCGCACACAATTAACCAGATACTGAACAACTAGTAGAAAACAACAAGTGAATATAATACATAAGACTATGGTGGTAGGCTTATGCAGTAAATAAGGAAATGGCAAATAGCCTATGTGAGTGGTTGCAGTAAATAAGGAAATGGCAAATAGCAAAGTAGCAAATCACAAGCCACAGGAGTGTGCTATAATGTAAACTGTGGTGCATGATTGTGAGACTTTATATTGAATTGGTAGTTAATGAGATGAATCGACAGATCTACTATGCTGCTGCTGCAGTCTATAAATACTGTACCAGTCTGGGCATTGCTCAAATAGACGATCTTTGGCAATGACTTTGGAATGGTAGGACTTGCTTCTCTGTCTCTGTCGGTTTTTTTTAGTTATTACTTTGGATGAAGGCTATGTCATGGATTGCCCCATGATTGTGAGTCATCCACACACCCACCTATCCTGTTGTTTCCCAAAGTCTTATTTTTAGGCTTCGCACCAAAACACAACGCCCAGTGACCCATCTGGCTCCTTTTAGTTGGTGAGACGCGAGTTTATGTCTACTACACATTTCACTGAGGTTGAAAATAATAATACAAAATAAATAGATTAAAAAATGACTAGTGGCTTGTTTCCATGTTTCCTTAGTTGACCGCCTTCGCCTAGTATCTAACTTCTAAATCTGAATGAGATTACACAGTCACGGTGGTAATGTTCAAGTTTTTTTTTTTTTGCAGATTCGCTACTATCTGTTTAGCACCGAACACGCTCCCGCCGGGCGCGCCCCCACACAAAAGGTTCCAACACATCATGACAAGAGCGCGCAGGACGGTCAATTACCACCACCCCCCGTCATAAACTCCAGCACAGCTATTAAAGAATTTATATCCAAATGATTGGCCAGTTTTAGAATTATGCAGCCTTTTACAGTTTCACAGCCAGCGCATAGCACAGGCCTAAATTTGACGGTTTTATGAGGATGGAATCAGCTATATTATAGGCCTACTTTTCTAGGTTATTATTGCTATAATTACAACAGGAGAATAAAAATATAATAAACTAAGATTAGCTTTAAAAAAAAATCTCACCACTGAGACCCATGAACTCATTATCTGAGCAGGTGAATTAAGGTTAATTTGTCCATGGAGATTATCTTTTTTTCACAGTAGGCACTTTCTTATCAAATCCTGTTTTAGAACAACACTCCTAATGGAATTTCATTACCTGCTGTCCTGGCCCATCTTGAATTTTTAAAATTATAAAAACAGATAAGCATTTTAAACATTAGGCCTATAGTAGGCTATATAATGATCTGTAATGTCATATTATTTTAATATTATATAAAAATCCAAAACTAACCTTTCATTGTCTGACATATGGTTGTTTAAAATATCCTTAGGATGAATAGGCATATATCTACATTCAAGTGCAGTTATATTTTGTATAAACCCACCTTTGGTGTTTAACGTGCCATTAAACTGTGTCTTTCTCCTGTGCTTGGTAGAGTACAGACTGCTGAATATCCGCAATCTTACACCGCCCTCTAGCGGAACAAATATGTCATCACATAAGTGTGGTTGAATTCGGTTAAGCGAACTAGTCAGAAATTATAGCGGTTGCCCCTCTTCTTCGAGGTGTGTTGTTTTGTTCACTTTGGTTGTGGAGATGGACTTTTAATTTAAGTAAAAAGGACACATTTATACTGCCAATTTTGCATTTGAACCAAGTATCAATAGAAAAGTATTCTCTAGAGTCTCACGAGATTTCGACGTGTCCAAATTACGAGATCTCAATTAGGTAAGTGGCGGAGCAAAACGTAAGATGGCAGCGAAGTTCTACCTGTGCTTCCCTTCCCAGTTTGTTCTCGCTGTGATAGGACTTTGGTTTTCCCACGTTGTTACATTGGATGTAGACCATTCCAAGGAACAAACAAACAAAACAAAAACTCGTTTATATTTTTTGAAATAACATATTGTTTGACTTCATATCATTTGCGTCAATTTGACAACCATTACTATCATATACCCTGTGAATTAGTGACACTGGGGTTCATATCAGCCCCAAAAGGCGTCGTAAACCTCATGAAACTGACTAAGAAAAGTACAGCCCGAGTGCTCATTAACTGATGCATTGTCACTCACCTCACGAAACACAGGGAATGTAGTGAGTTAATTGATGTGTGTCTATGTGGTTTGTAGAGAATGAAAGCAGTTGGACCTGAGACCAGTGGCTATCACACTGTTAGACTAATTGATGTCACTTGTCAAGGAGAAAACAGAGGCTTTTTGTTCAAACTCGCTGGGAGGTCATTGGCTGTAGTGAATAAAATGAGTGATACGGCCAGTTTGGTGACAAGCCTCTAATTATTCTGTCCTAACAAATTGAGCGTTGGAGGCCCCAGTGAGCCAGTTTTATGTCCACAGCTTTAAGTGTCATTTTGAGTTTTAAAACTGATAACAGGTTGCTCAGGAAATCCTCAGCTTTCTAGGTAAAACAGGAAAGCAAACATTTGTGAAGATGTTTTGTAATTTTTAAATGTTATATTTCCTACATTTTTCTAGTTCTCCAATACTATATGTATTTTCTGGATCTTTGCAGTGTAATGGCAGCACGCCCTCAGCATAATGCCTCAGCTTAATCTGCATCAAGACATTAAGGTGATTATTATCATTATTATGCATTTTAAGTCACCAGTTGTCTAAAATGTATACAAGAACTGACCTGGGTGGTTAGTATTGACAGAGATAACTGTAACAAAGGAATGAACTTTCCTTACCGGACATTCATCCATGCACCCATTATCTACATTGCTTGTCCTGTAGAGAGCCATAGAGGATCTGGAGCCAATCCCAACTGACACTGAATGAGAGGCCATGATCTGCTGCGATATTTTAACCTGGGACCTTCTTGCTGTGAGGCTAACCACTGCCCCATTATGCACTCCCAGGAAATTCATCAACAGAAAAATCAAGAGAACAAAGTCACAAAGTATTGTTTGATTGACAGGTGAACCTGGGTTGGCTGGAGCAGAGATGCCATGGCAATGAGAGATAAGATGGCAACTTTTACCATTTCTATTAGTACTACTACTACTACTAAAAATAAGTTTTTCATTCTGTATATCCACGAGGTAACTTCCTCAGTGAAATAACTAAATGACCTACAGTAATTAAGACTTGGGTTTTACAAGATTTGCCCTCAACCTATTAAAAGCTGTCTGAGGTTGTGTAAACACCAGGTTACAGGACATCTAATGATTTAATTACACTGTTGGGTCATATTATAAAATGATAAACAAGCATGGATAATAAATCATTTATGATTCAGAAAGCCTTGGAGGGAATAGATGCTTGTTAATTTGCACGCAACCTAAATTCATTATTTATCTCCGAGAATGAATAAATTGTCCCGGCTTGCCTGTGATTGAACTTGAACTGGTGAAAAATTCAGCCTGTGCTGCTGTACCCCAGTGAGCCATCCAATGGATAGGCTTTAATGATTTCATTTGGGTTAGGAGTGGAAACAGAGAAAATAATGAGGAGGAAAGAGACCGAAAAACAGTGTGGTACACAAGGAAAGAGAGGGTGAAGGTTTGTACTGAGATTGATTGTAAGAACTTACTCATGAATTTTAATGAACTTCATGGCTTGGCCCAAGATTTTATCTCTTGAGTTACTCTCAACATTATCAACATGAACACAGTCTGAGGTCTTGAGGCAAGAGACTGTTGGCTTTTCCCGTGGCAAGACTTAAGAGTAAGGCTGTCAAATATTTGGTGCTCGGCACCTTCGTTCTGGAAACAACCCAGACTTGCAAAAATCCTAATCTTATTTTAAACTGCTTCTGAAGGCTCGTACTGTATAATTTAATTTAACTGGCTAATAATACTAATATATGTGTACTGTATGTAGGAAGGCATATACAGAATGCTATTGTTATTACCTCCACCAGTGTTAAAGGTTCTTCCAGAAGCTTGTTGGTTTGTTTGTTAACAGCATAATTCAAAATGTCCCCGTTTTACCCCTAAGCCAACAAGTGAATATCTGTCATGTCTATTATTTCTCTTGAATAACTTTCACAAACTAATGAAGATATCAGTGTCATTCCAAATGCCAGCAGTAGGTTGTCAAGCAATCATATTATGAGGATCAAGCTACCATGGGAATATTGCTCTTTGGTGTAATGACATTATGGGGAAACTGACTTGCCCTTGGCGGAGGTATGCACTCTCTGAGTGCTGTCTGGGTGGTGTTGTTTTTATCTTTTTAGTTTTTTGTAATAGTGATTTTTCTTGGTATTAATCACATTTCTCTATTTTATTTACTCATGCTACCTAATCTAAATGTTTACTGTTGATTGTTGAAGCCCTGAGTAATCACTGGTTCACAGAAGTATTATATAGTATATAGGATATAGGGGAAAGAGAAAGAGTGAGTGAGAGAGTTGATGCAAATGGAAAAAGTTAAGGAGAAAAGAAGTGAGAGTGTAATAAAATAAGTGTGAGAGTGATGATGAAGATGAAAGCTGATTTGTCTCTCTTATTTCCACTTTGTCTAGGTTTTCCTGGAGCAGTGAATAGACATGTGTGCCTGTGTTTGTGTGTGCAGGGTGGCCACAATGATCTGGGATCTTTCTTTCTCCGCCTCCCAGAGAAAGAGCGAGAGCGAGAGAGAGCCGTCACACACAACGAGGAGCTGGGACAAGAGACAGAACAGAGGAGAGCTGTCAAGCTGTGAGGAAGCAGCAAAGAGACGACTTAGTTTTTTCTGGGAATATATTTTCCCCGCCATCTCTTAAACAACCGCACACACTTAAAAAAATATAAACCTGCAAACACACATATAGTGAAGTGTGTGTGTGAGTGCTGCTGTTAACTCCTTACAAGGAGCGGTGAATTATTTTAAGGATCTGGACTCACTCAAGCCTGACACACTTGGACTGTAAGAGTGTTTGGATTCAGCATCTTTGTGACTTGAACTTAGCCTAATTAGATTGAGTGTGTATCCCTGTGTGTGTGTTGGGATTCAGCACTTCACCTGAAAGCCTGAATGAGATTTTGACTGAAGCAGTTTTTGCACTTGTGAGTTACCTGAATTTGTAGGATTGGACTCGCCCTCGGACTTTCAGTGTTTGTTTATGTGTGTGAGGAGGAGGATGTGCTGGCCGGTGACGGTGGTCCTGCTAGCCCACCTTGGGGCCACCATGACGGGAGCATGGAGAGCATCTCAACCAAGACTTCAGTTCACACACTCTGGTAAGAGGCAGCATTTCTTTCCTTTCATCTCTTGTCTTTAGTGTTTCAAGTGTCGTTGATCATAATGTTTAATACGTCTGTCACTCTCATTCTCCGCACACGTACAAAACTTTTCTTTCTTTTGATGCCCACACACCTGTCTGTGAGAGCCTTTTTTAAAATTTATTTATTTTCAACTACATCTCACTACATCTCTGTAATATCCTGCATTGAATTAATCTTATTTCAGTAGTCTAGCATGGGTGTGAAAGCCTTGTCTTTAACCCCTGCCCACCTCACTGTCTTACTGTACTCTTTTCAGAAGTGGCTTAAGCATTCGATTTGTCTCCCCAACACAGTTGTAAAGTCGTAGACAGTTTTGTTCCTAAATTACACATTGAAATGATAGTTTTTCCACAATTTTTTTATTTCTGAAAACATTGTACAGTAATTGCTAAAACCTGGAACCACTGCGACATCTAACTCCTGCCCCCGTCGGACAGGGCATGAAACAAAAGCAAGATTGGTGATAAGATAGTTGTAAACAAGCCAGCAGTTTAGCTGGATTATAGTACAGTCAGCCAGTTTATTTGGAAATAAAACTGCAAGAGAGTGCACCTAAAATGTCACAAAAAATCTCTCGCTATCTCAGGAAAGCTGTGTGCAAACACAACTACAGAAATGTGAACCGACCAGTTGGTCTATGATCTGTGATTACCGCTGACATTTTAGATAATAATTGTAGTGTCCACCTGTGTAACCTGGGGCTTTTGTTTATGCTGCTGTGCAACACATTGCTGGTATTGAAGAGATGCACAGGTTGATGATCAGTGGGTTGATGCGTGGTTGAATTGGAGCCAACAGGTCCTCTGAAAGGGTGCAGTGACACAGCTTCTAACACCGTATCTACACAGAAGACATAGCGTGAGCAGCATGTTAGCAGAGCAGAAGAGCAGTTCCACTGCTCTGCATGTGCCTATGAAGGAGGTGTTCTGGCACAGTACTGAGTGTAGGTCACCCACATTTTGAAAGTGCTCAGAGTACAATAAAAAAATCATTGTTGCTACACATAAAATGCAGAAAGGTAGGCTTGATGTGTACAAATGCACTTCAGGCCATGTTTATGGGCTGCTCTTACACAGCCTGTATAGACAGGTAGATTGATTAAATAGAACTGTATGTGTTCATCACGGATGACTGACAAACATGACTGAAATGCTTTCTGTGTATACACGTCTTAGTTGTTTGGTGTTTTAACTTAAAGAGAGGAGCAGTGGGGTAGGGTTTGCCTCACTGGTATGCATAGAAGAAAGATTTTAGCATGATGTTCATGTGATGGCCAATGTATGTGATACTCTCTGAGTTGTTGTGAGACAGTAGGATAGGATTTAATACTTTGACCCATGTTGGATGTTTTGCTGTTTGGGGATAACAAACATGGCAGAAGTAAAAAGAAAGCACAGATCTGCATTTTCTAATTAAGACAGGATTTGGGACTTAATCTTTTGCCCTCTCAGCTCTGTTTATGGTGAATTCCCTTCAAATAGAAAGCTTTTTTTGAGGCATCCAGGCCTTTAATTGCAATGACTCTTGTGTGTACAACTCCCTTTAATCAAGTTTAGCAGAGACTTTGTAGTAAGAAAGCTGATTAGATATTCTTACATAAGCCAAAACACAAAGAGTGTGAAGTAGATGTGGTGAGGCTGAAGTCAGCCAGTCATGACCTAGAAAGTACAGAGAGTGGGAGAAGGGAAACCTTGTTGGATTCTCCCAGGTGGGGATTTAGCTCTAATGAAATCTGAATGTGAAGATGTGAAGAGCTGCTAAAGTAGCTCTGTGGGTTTGTGTGTGTCTGTGAGCACCGTGTGCCCGTATGTCCTTGAGCATATATGTGTGTAATTTTTCTTTGAGTCGCTTTGAAGACATGAGCTTATGTGTGTGTGCTTAAATAGAGCTGTTTCAGTTCCAGGATCTCTGCCCACCTCATGCTTTGTTGTGTATTCTGCTGAGGCAAATCTTAATGTTTTTGACCATCCAAGGTCTGTGGTGTGTGTGTGTGTGATTGCGTCTGTTTTAATCTACAGTTATCTTTGGAAAGATGACAAAAAATGTGTGCTGTGATGTGTGCAGGGATTGCGATGGGTTCCATGTCCACCATCATGCCTGTTTATGTATGTTGTGTTCTCTTTGTCTCGCTCTCTGTGGGAGCTCCATTTTGAGCTTCATAAATGCAGATGTTAAGGCAGAAGCATTGCATTGAATTGCATACAACTGTACAGGTGTACCCATTAAAGTGGCCATTTGGTGTTAATGGAAATTTTAAGATAGTGTTTTTGTAGCTTGAACAATTCTGGGTCTCACACTCAGGATAAGCCAGTTTTTCAGTTTCACGGAAGTGGTATACTGAATAACTTGAGAACCTCTTTGCAACAGCATTATTATAAATGCTATGCTATGTTATAAAAACACAAAATGAAAAAAAAAAGCATTTAGTAGAGGAAGGCTTCATTGTATGGGTTTTGGCCTCAGCATACCCAGCAACTCCCACTCTTCTTTGAGTCACCCCAGATGGGACTTGAACCCACAATCCCTGGCTTAGGAGGCCAGTGCCTTATCCATTAGGCTACTGGGGCTTCACATCAGAATGCTTGACCAGAACACACCCATATGGGGAACATATGCTTCGTTTAAGGGAATTTTAAGATTATGTATTTTTTCAGCTTGAAAAACAGTGTGGCTAATTCAATTCATGCAAATGGCCTACGAGTTCAGTCAACATAGAGTGATTTCACTAGAAATCACTTTAAAGTGAGGCTATGTGAGATACAAACATTAGCTTGGAATAACTGACCAGTGAACTCGGGACATGACAGTTTTCCAATTTCATGGAATTGCTGAACCAAAACAATGCAGTACCTCTCTAAGTTACTTCAAAGTCATAAAGTCCTTTTAGCTGGTGACCCAAAGAAAGCAGGTAGCAGAGGATGGTTTTGGTTTATTGACCTCTGGGTTAGGGCCCCAGCACGGTTCTGCTGCATCACCCCAGAGGGGACTTAATCACCCTAACTATTCCTGGCCTAGAAAGCCAGTGCCTTATCCATTAGGCCGCTGGGGCCACACATGATGTTTCAGTTGACATAGAGTGATTTCCACTAGAACGCCACTGGGGCTATATCTCATCTGGTTTGAAAGTGATACAATGACTACTGAACCCACTGAAGTATTACCAGGGAGGCAACAATGAAGACAAACAGAAACAGGTTACTCATAGTATAGCCACCCACATGTAGGTCAGGGATTAGGGTTTTCACAGCTTATAGTGACCATGGCCTCATTTCTCTTAAGCAGAAATGATTTTATAAGCCTAACAGGTGTTTCTGAACCATTACAATCTCCTTGGCACTCCACAGAGATCTGTTTTTCATTTGTCACTATTTTTATTCTCTTCAGTGGACATGGAAGTCACGTGATCTGTGTACATCATGATTAATTAGCTAAATCTATTTGTGATATTTCAGGATGATGTTGTATTCCCAGCATTTTCACACAGGTTCAAGGCCAATATGTGCAGTTTGAAAATGCGCATAAAAATGAACCACTTGGACCAGCGTTAAATGGAAACTCATTTACTGCCTGAGAGATTTGTTGATATTGCTGTAATCAGACTAACTGATCTGACAGCTTCATGTGTCTGAAAAAAACAAAAACGGATTTAAATACTTAAATACATGCCTGATTACCTCTTAACTCCCCTCCCAAATACCTCTCTTAATGACTAAATTATCTCAGTTATTCACTCAAACTTTATGCTGCCCATATGCAGGCGTGGGCTATCACAGACACGCACACACACATACACATACACACATACAGTAAGTGAATGTAATGGATCCATTATCCCAGCCCTTCAGTGAATAGCAGTGTGATTTTCTTTGATAAATGGCAGTTAGAGATACCATCTCTGAACCACACGCATACACACAAGAGGCATTTTCTTGCACAGTATTAGATGAAACAAGTATAGTGGTCCAATGCACATAAGACTAATGAACCTATAACACTACATGCACCATGTAGAAGAACACACTTATGTATCCTTTATAAAATAATGCAAATGAACCTTCAAAAAACTGTAGATATACACACACACACACACACACACACACACATTTCACACACTGTAAACATACAGTAACACAATAAGCTCCTATACAAACTCATGCCCAGTGGATGCATCCAAACACAAGTACGCTAAGCTGATGTCAAAGCTCCATCAGCACCTGCTTTCAAATCCATACTTGTCACTTGAGAAAATGAAGATTTATTTTCACAATCACAGAATAAAACTTCACAAACACCTCAGAGTGGGTTTGGAGGGTTTATTAAGTCAGTGAAAATCGGTTTCCTCACATGGAAGTCATGTTTTATTCATACAGTATTCATACACAGAGTGAATTGCTTTGCCATAGACATTTAATGTTAATCAGTCACTGGAGAATATTTGAATTTAACCATGAGGGTTTGTTTGGTATGAGAGGAGATATTGGCTTTGACCTTTGACCTCTATACTGCTGAATACCTGCAGTGAATTTGATGCAGTCATTGAAACTTATCCTGCTGTGTCTTTCTGGACAAATGTCCCAGATTGTAATGTAAATGTAAATGAGACATTTTCAATTTCAAGCTTTTAGTATGCAAATTGCTTAGTTATACTGCACATTAGATTAGTTCATCACTGTCCAGATTAATGTCTGTTCACGTGTGTGTCTGTAAAATTTAGTTTCTTCTGACAAAATGTGTTGCATATACAGTACAAAATGATGTTGTGTAACTGAGCTGTCTGTGAGAGAAACAAGTCTGCCATCTGATTTGGTCACAATTTGGCCACTGACTCAACCACGGATCCAACTTAATTCTCATTCAGTATAAAGGAGATTAATTAAATTGGAACAAGTAGTGTCCATGGCATATGCACATCTTTCTGCTAAGACTTGTACAATACAATGCTTCACAGCTATGTA